GATTACAACGACCAAAATACCCCTAGGGTTTGTCGTTAATTACGCGGCCGTGCCACCGTGTTTTCGAGCAATTACTAGAATGCCCTTCCCCCATCCCCACACTAAAACGAAAAAAATCAAAAAATCGCACTCAGTTGGTTTCGAACCCGCGGTCTCTAGGTCAGAGGAGGCTAGCGGTTTGACCAGTTGGGCTGCCGACAATCATATGCTAAATTATCCATCCCGCTTAAGTTTATTTGTTTATAGTTCTTAATACGAAATGGTAAATGCGGATTAAGTTTATCTCGTTTCTTTTCCAATACGAGTCAAGCCTCTTCCTAATAACTTAAATTATTAAATTCTCTTTTCATAATTTCATAATAATCAAATTAAATTTTATTAACATAAATTATAATACGAAATTCACGATCAGTGGAACGTGATGAAAATGTCACAATTAAACTATCAAAGTTCAAACGAACTACGTGGACTTTGATCCCGTCTAACGGGTACGTAGGCAACCGATAAGGTTCGAGTCCAACTAACCAATTAACTTCATCGTTTACGTCAGTGGACGTACAATTAAATTACCATTAATACGATTTAATTTTTTTTAATGGTCCAGTGGGACCCTAAAATTACTAAATTATTACTAAAGATACACCCAACTCGCATAAGAACTTATCGACTTAAGTAGTACCGATTTAGGGCGTTGTGGGGGTGTTGCTTAACTTCCCCACACGTAACCATACTCCCGAACCCATATCTCTTAAATGCAGACCATATCTCGGTTCTGACCCTAAGGTTAGAGCCGACAGACGAGTGTTCGATCCACTCCAAGTAAGATCGATGGCGACTCCCAAAAATGCCGACGCGACGACACAAAACGGACCCCCGGACGGGACGGTTGCGACAGGGAGAATCCGGGGCAGAATGTGGGTAGTGAGAATCCGGGGCAGAATGTGAGTGGAAGTGGGGGAGGCAATCAACCATCTGAAGCTGGTGAAGATAATGCAACTAGTAGGGGATCAATGGAAACTGAGTATAGGGGATCAGAGGAGTCTGCTCATGTTAGAGGCAACATTGGTGAACAAGATAATGTCGCCAAGTTCGACAAAACCTTGCTTTATGATCCAAAGTGCGATCATAAAGCATTGAAGTTCGTCACTTGTATGCGCTTTAAATCCCCTGAGCAGTTTAAGGCAGCTGTAATGAGGCAATCAATTGAGATTGGTGCTGATATTAGATGGGTAAGGAGCAGTGACTTTAGGAAGGAGGCTGTGTGTGCGCAAAGGAAAGAATATTCATGTAAGTGGAGGGTATATGCAAGTTGGTTTCGCAAGCACGAAGCATTTATGGTGAAAGGAGTTGGACCAGCTCACATTTGCCCTCGTTCACTTCACATTCGGGCAGCAGGTCAGAGGTGGATAGCAGAAGAATTTCTTGAGACATTTAGGGCAAATCAGGGTTGGGATGTAGGCCTAATAGCTGCTGAAATTAAGCGGAAGTACAATTTGGTGGTGTCAAACCAAACTTGCTACCGAGCTAGGCTAGAAGCGCGTCGCATGCTATATGGATCATTGGAAGAAGATTTTAATCAGATTAGATCATATATAGGACATCTTTTGAAAGTTGATCCGCAAGGTTCGTTCCTTCTCGAGGTGGATGTAGATCCGGGTTGTGACAAGGTGTTCTTCAAGAGGCTCTATATTGGCTTCTCCAGTTTGACCAAAGGATTCCTGGCAGGATGTAGACCCTTCTTCTGCCTCGATGGTTGTTTCTTAAAGGGGGAGGTTCAAGGAATGCTTCTATCTGCAGTTGGTAAGGATGGGAACAACCACATGTTCCCAATTGCATGGGCAATAGTGGAGTCAGAGAACAAATCCTCTTGGATTTGGTTCATAAGCGCATTGCAAGACCAACTTGGGACAGCTGACGGATGTGGGTATACTATTGTCTCAGACCAACAGAAGGTAACTACTTTATTGCTTATGATTACTACCATACCTAAATTTAAATCACATGGTTTACTAACTTTTTCAATTTAACACAGGGTCTTGTGGAGGCTTTACATACCTGCTTGCCAAATGCAGAACACCGGAAATGTGCTCGGCATGTTCATGCTCACTTCCGGGAGAAGCACAAGACGGCAGCAGCTACTGATTTGTTTTGGGAAGCTGTCTATTCTCTCAATAACGCTGATTGTACGTGCGGTTGGTGGGCACTAAATGGTATTCCTTGTAGTCATGCTTTTTCATCCATCAGAAGCATGCGAGGACAACCGGATCTTTATGTTGATGCTTTCTTCAAGATGGACTTTGTGAAAATGGCATACAAGTTTCCCATTCCAGCATCGGAAGGCCGACAAGCATGGATGCCGGTGTTTGGGAACAAGGTATACCCTCTCGGATTAGGCGCATGCCTGGTCGTCCAAAGACTAAACGTCGAAGGGAGGCTTGGGAGGTCCGAAGCAAGAATGAGCCTGCTGCCCCGAAGACTGCAGCTCCTAAGAAGAAGAAGCAAGCACGCCCGACTCCGGCAGCACCTGTTCCTCAATCAAATCAAGACGCTGGAAGGGAGAATCAGGTAACTCGAAGAGGATCCATCACATGGTTTGTTAGTGTAACATTTTATTCAATTGTTTATTAATGTAACATTTTACAGCAGCCACGAGAAAAGAAGAAGGGTCGTTGCAGCAAGTGTAGATCAGAGCACCATAATGCAAGACGCTGTCCACTACTTGTAGGGATTCAGGTAACCATCTTTTAACTATGAATGAATGAATGAATGAGTGAGTGAATGAATGAATGAATGAATGAATGATAGAATGAAATCACTGAATGTGTATGAACGTGTAGGCCCCCCATGTTGGTTCGTGTAGTAAAAGGGTAACTAATCGTGAAATGAGAAGGGCGATGCAAGGTATTGGAACCTACATTGACATGGACACTGGAAACATGTATGCAAGGGTATGTAACAGAGTTTTCTAGATTAATGACAGAGTATTGTTTTTTGTGAACTCTATTCCTAACTTGAAGATCCTACTATTTTGCAGCTTAGCAACAGAGTTCCACCATCTGGTGGTGTACGAGCAACAGAACCGGACCTGCCTCCTGTCAATACCACACAGCCTCCCACTACTCAACCAGACTCGCCTTAGGAAGTCAGAAGATTAATGTTAGGAAGTAGATAAGACTCCTGTTTTGTGCGTGCTATGTGCATGTTACGGATCACTGTGATTCGTTGGAGTGTAGGATTGTAAAGTAGGTCCAAAGTTAGGATTCCCCCTTTTGTAAATGGTCTGGAAATGAACCTTAAACTAAGGCATACCTTGTCCTAAACTAAGGTTGTGCCCCTTTTGTAAATGGTCTGGAAATGAACCTTGTCCTAAATAGATTATGTTTATGAATGAATGAAGTTGTATATGTTTGTCCCAGTTATGCTTCAATGAAAGAACAAGCTTACAATTGGAAGGAAATAAGGTAGCAGTTCTTTGATTTCATAGGAAATTACACAAATTAGACAACAAGCTTACAATTGGACAATCACCAAAACAATAAGAAACATAACTACAACGATTATACAGGCTGTTAGCCGATTTTGTAGCGCACAAATCGCATTTCGCATACTTTGCAGTTCACCAAAACTAGCTGAATTGATCTCGGTCACCTTCGTCAAGTCTTCAAGCATAGCCAACTTCTCCTGTTTCCTTTTCTTTGCCTTCTCTTCTGCCCTACGAAGTTGTCCTTCAAATGCCTCCAATGTCGACTTTAGCCGCTCATTCTCTTCCATAAGTCCACCAAGCATAAAGTCACTCTCTGTGACTGCATCAACCCAGCGAAAAAAACGACAGTTCTTCTCTTCATCCTTCCAAAACGGGCAAGAATAAAACAATCTTCCAGGATTGTCATCTGTTCGAGAAGTGTTGACAACGCAGGGGGCTCGGTGGAAGTTGCATCTTATGGGCTTCGTGCTTGACGAACCAGAAGAGGATGAAGCTTTGGTGGCAATTACATAAAAGTACAAGTTCAAGTTGTACCATAAAAGAATTTGTACAAAAAGTAAAGGTACAATCTAAAGTTGTACCATAATGTAAATATACAATTTTAAGTTGTACCATAAAGGTAAAAACCTATAGCACCAGTACTATATGACATTGTAAAATTTCTCGACCTTCATATAAAACCCAAGTCTTTGGCTGCAAATGGTTGAGACTTGAGACAAGGAGACCTGTCCAAAAAAAAACCAACTAATAAATCTACAAATTAGGATAAATTGCAAGTTTGGTCACTAGGATTACTAAACAGTTTCACGTTTGCCACTAAAATTAAATTATTTCATTCCTAGTCATTAAAATTAGTTCAACAGTTCAAATTTGGTCATTTTCCGTTAACTTTTGCTTATTTGACATTGAATCTTTACAGTTAACCGTTAAATGAGTGATGTGACAAATAAAAAATAAAAATTTAATAAAATTTAATAATTAATAATTTCCACCTCATTATAATAAATTAAAAGATAAATAGAACAAAAAATGCCTACCCCTCCGCTCCGCCACCTCTCCACTGCCGCAGCTGCGACAGAAGCCGCCACAACAGCTGCTGCTTCCTCAATCTCCAAAACACCTCCACTTTTCAAGTCCCCAACGCCTCCAATATTCAATTCTAGGGAGTTCTGAGTTTGTTGCGATTCAATCGTCTCTGTTGATTTCATTCTGACATATCAGATCCATTGTTAATTTCGGCATTGACTCAAATTGACTCGTCTCGTTCTCTACTAAGGCAACTGAACAGAGCATCAGAATCCAAAACATAAAATTGAACTCAGAAACTGAAATTTACTATACTCGTATTTGACTATTTGGAATCAAAGATGGCATTTACACACAGTTTCCAGATTGCTGTTTCAAAAAATCACAAAACTGGAAACAAACAATACCCCGTCCCGGTACTACAGAGGGAAACAGGGGAGAGAGAGAAAATTAGCATAAACCCTAAATTCAAGCTACACAACTACAGCCGCTACCGCCGACGACGGAGCGCGTCGGCCTCCTCCTCAACGGCGCTTCTCCAAATCCGGTGAAACCTCTCCACCGAGCACGACTCGATCTCGATCGGCAGGTTGGTGTTGAAATCCAGCGCGTCCGCGTCCCGGCACTCCAGCAGCAGCTTCGCGAACCCTTCGTGACGGAAGTACACGATCGGGATGTCGAACCGCCGCAATTCCTCGCCGATGTACACCGCCAGATGCGCTCCCTTCTTCTCCCTACCGCCGCCTATTAGCAGCACCTTCTTTAACATCGATCGAACGCCTCCGCCGCTGCGACGACGCGAATCGAACGCCGCAGCCGCTTTTTCTTCCTTCTCAACGTTCGCCTCCTTCTCGCCGCCGTCGCCGAGCAGTCGCGATTTCTCGGGCGCGGGATGGACGGACTGGTCTCCGAGAATGCCCCGGCCGCGGCGGAGGAGGCTTGCTTGCTTCCATAACGGCGACATTGTTTGGTCGACCGACGATTGAAATCGAAGACGCGAAGAAGAGCGAGCGAGTTCTCTCTCTCGCTTTTTGCCTATTTGGGGATTCTTCTACGCCCCAAAAACTTGCCAATTTCTTCGTGGAATCCGTAAGGTAAGGTTCACTCTGTTTTCGTCTACTTATATATACGCAGGTGATTCTGGTGGGCGAACTCTTTCCTTTTCGGATTAGTAAATGTAAAGCTAAAACCTAATTAGTTTCTTCTTTTCTTCCTTCCGTTGAATAATTAGTTTGATTTCGGAAGTTACTGCCCCTGGATATTTTTATCAGACTGGGTTTTTACTTTTTTCCATAACTATTGCGATTTAAAAAAAAAAATTACCTGAAATATAGTGGTTGTGAAAATAATTTTCAATCTACTGTCGTTAAAACCGAATTGGGGCGCGGCTTTATGGTATGCAGAAAATCGAACTAGGGCGCGAGCGCCTGAATAAAGTAAAAAAAAAAAGCTAATGGGGGCGAGAATAAGCCACTCCTTTGTTTGATACCTTTTTGGTTCTTCCATCCTTTTCCGATATTGATGATGATATTGATGATGGCTTCGACTTGCTGCCCCATGCGACCTCGCCTTCCTCCCCTGCTGTCACCACCGCCGTCTACGCCTCCGTCTCTGCCACCGTCTCCACCACCGCCTCCACCACCACCACTAGTCCGTCGCTCAATGCCCTCCAACCGTGGGGTACCTCCTTCTCGTCATAATGATTTTGTTTCTTATGGTGTTGATGCTCTTGTAGTTCCTACTCGATACTCCCAGGCTAAGGATGATCCGAACTGGAACGGATCTATGATAGAGGAGATTGTTGCCCTTCTTGCTAATCAGACCTGGGTTGTTGTTTCTCGTCCTCCTGATCACTAGGTTGCTGGGTCTCGCTGGGTGCATACTCTCAAGTTTCTTCCTGATGGCACTTTGGAGCGGCACAAGGCGCGAGTTGTTACTCAGGGATTCAGCCAAGAGTTCGGTGTTGATTTTGATGAGACATTTGCCCCCGTGGCGAAAATGGTTTCTGTTCGGACTCTCCTTGCTCTGGCCGTTGTTCGTCATTGGCCTTTGTATCAGATGGACGTCAAGAAGGCTTTTCTTCATGACAATCTCAAGGAGACAGTGTCTATGGAGCTTCCTCCTGGCTACTCTCCTCCCACTGATATTCTGGATCATGTATGTCTCCTTCAGCGTTCCCTGTATGGCCTCAAGCAGGCTCTGCGGGTGGGGTTTGATAAGTTTCACTCTACCATTTTGGGTCTTGGTTTTCAGCAGAGCCAGAACGACCATTCCCTCTTTACACGCCGCTCTGCGCGAGGTATTGTTATCCTTCTTCTCTACGTTGATGATATGGTGGTTACTGGTGATGATGAGGTTGGGATTAAGGCACTTACTCAGGGTCTACATGAGTCATTTACTTTGAAGGAACTTGGGTCTCTCTCTTACTTTCTGGGCTTAGAGGTGGAGCGCTTACCAGAGGGCATTTTACTTAGTCAGAAGAAGAACATCACTGATCTTCTTGAGACGACTAAGTTTTCGGGTTGTACTCCTCTTTCGACTCCCATGGAGTTGAATGTGAAATTGGGGAGGGAGACAGGTGAACTATTAGCTGATGGTGGAAAGAAGTATTGGATTATTGTTGGTAGTCTTATCTATCTTACATCGACTCGTCCTGATATTGCCTGTGTTGTGCAGATCGTCGCCCAGTGTATGTTAACTCCCAGGATGGATCATCTAGCAGCAGTTCATCGTCTTCTTCGGTATCTTTAGGGTACTCGCGGAGTAGGTTTGTTCCTTCCTGTGACAGGGTCACTTGGTCTCCAGGCCTTCTCTGACAATGATTATGCAGGATGTATTGATACACATCATTCCACGACAGGTTGGTGTATTCGTCTTGGTGGTTCTCTCATCTCTTGGAGATGCAAGAAACAGGATCGGGTATCCAAGTCCTCCACCGAAGCAGAGTACAGAGCTATGTCTAATGTGGTCTTTGAACTTGAGTGGCTTCGGCAGTTACTTGATGATTTTGGAGTGACTTGTGTGATTCCTATGGAGCTTTATGTTGACAATATTGAGGTTCATGTGCACTATATTCGTGACTTGGTTCAAGATGGTGTTATCAGCATCATTCATGTTAAGTTAGAGGATCATATCGCAGACCTACTGACTAAGGCTTTCACTGTAGTCGCCATAATGATGCGAAACCTCCATCAATTTGGGGAGGTTGTTAAGTTATGGATTGTATGGTTTCGTATGGGCTTTAGCCCATTGTAGCATTGTGTAATTATAGGCCTAGTTATGTAGACTCTTCCCTGGTCGATTCCCTTCTCCATCTCGGTTAGGGTTAGAAGTCATATATATATTATACCTTGAACATGCCTTGAAGCTAAGTTAATAGGAGAGTTGATAGCTTCGATCGTGGACTAGTCTTGATCACACCAATCAAGGAAATCACGTAAATTTGTGTCTCCATTTCGATTCTACTTCTAGTTATTCTTTCAATTCCGTTTCTTAACAAGCCTGAATTGCCTGACCCTCCTTGTCCTCACATACACACATAATTAATTTTCTCTTCTGCAGGGAACGGCTATGCTCACCATGTGAGCATCAATCCAAGGCCTGAAACCAATCCAGATGTGGGTCTTCTTCGTGAGGCTGTATCAGATAGAGCTGGGGACGGGCGGGATGGGGTTCGGGATCTCGACGGTGGCGATGGCGGTTGCGTTGGTGAGCTTCTTCTCCGGGACGAGATTGTACCGGCATCAGCGACCTGGTGGGAGCCCTTTCACTCGGATTTGTCAGGTGATTGTGGCTTCGGTCAGGAAGTGGGCAGTTGAGTTGCCTGCTGGTCGTAAGGAGAGTCTGTTCGAGACGTCGGATTCCGAGTTTGTTGTGGTGGGAAGCCATGACAAGGTTTAGGTTTGGAGAATTGGCAAACCCTCAAAGTGAAGGGTTGCCCTGTATTCGCTACATATAGCTCATTGTTCTGTTAATCAGAAACACTACAACGTTAGCCACGTGGCAGAATGTCATTGGCAATTACAAACTGAAACTACTGTTTAACAACGGCTAATAGTCAAAACGGAACGACAACGTTTAATTTAAATGCAGCAATATAAACGAACTCTCAGCTTGAAACGTTTCTCATTCTTCTCCTTCGATTGAATCCAGAGCACACCAGGACTTCTTCTTCTTCCTGCATCTGTTTTATTTATTTTAGTTTATTATTTTAATGATGTGAAAAAATTAAAAGAATTATTTTTTTTTATTAATTTTTTTAATTGCCACGTCAGATATTTAACGGTCAATTATTCGGGTTGACTGTCACATCAGATAAAGTTAACGGAGAGTGACTAAACGTGGACCGTTTTACTAATTTGAGTGACCAAAATTTATATTAATTTTTTCCAGTGACTTAATATGACACGCTTTAGTAAACCTAGTGATCAAAATTGGCATTTACCTGTTTAAAATTTTTACTTTATTTGGAATGAAGCCAACGATTAATTCAATTAGACCTAAAAAATTAATAAAAATGAAACTATTGTAAATTTTGACAAAAACAATAAAGAAGCGCATACGATAATTAGAAAGAGCGCTAGTAATATCGAAATGAAGATGAAAGAATGTGAGAAAAATAGAATTCAGTAAATTGATGTGGAAAATATCAATTTGATACCTGCCGTTAAGTTTAACGATGAAATATATAACAATACAACAGGAAGTCAACTTATATGGTTTAGTTGCAACTAAAAAATCTTAATTGGTTGATGCAACAATCCGCCCACCACTTAAACCTTATCTCCTTCCTCCTTCTCTCTCCTTCATTTCTCCATTCAAACCAGGCAGGCCATTTAAACCTTATCCGCCCACCACTTCCTTTCTCCTTCCTTTCCTCCTTCTCTCTCCCACCACCACCAGGCAAGCCACCATGGCCATGGAGGAGAAGCAGAGGCACAGTGGCGGCGAGTGGAGGCGGACGTCGGGGCAAGGCGGTTGGCGATTCGAGGAGCAGAAGAAGGGGGTCGAGCACGAAAACGCCGGAGCGGAGGCCCTGGGTCGTCGCGGTGGTGGAGACGCAGACTCAGGCGATGGCGGGTTGACGGCGACGCTGCGGGAGTTCTGGTGGAGGTTTGAAGGGAAGAGTTGAAGAGAGAGTCGAGAGGAGACGAAGAGGAGACTCAGGTAATGGTGGGTTGACGGCGACGCTGTGGAAGTGCCGGTGGAGGTTTGAAGGGAAGACCTGAAGAGGAGAGTCGAGAGGAGAAGAAGAGATGAAGGTGTTAGGAACGGAACAACAAAAGGAACGAGGTTACCGAATCTGGAGCTGAGTCGCGGACTAGGTCGCTCTCTTTAAGACGTTCGCGGCACTGCCTTCGATGCGCACGGCAAACTATCAACCGGTCGTCTCCAGGATAAAACAGCTCCTCTCAATACTCGCGGTTTTGTGCGAAAACCGAAGCTCTCTAAACACTCTCTCTATTGTGTTTCTGCTCGTTGTGATGTGTTTAGAGGGGCTGGGGAGGCGGCTATTTATAGGAGCCGAACCCATAGGAATATACCCTCTTGCTTGGGGAATAAGTCGGATTAATTAAGGAAGATAATTACTTCCTTAATATTCCTTCGAATATTCCATTTTAGTCGATTATCCTTAGGAATATACCTCAGAATAACCGATTAATAATTAATTATTAGATAATTAATTTCGTTCGGAATTTCTCCAAAAATATATAGTCTCAAGTGAACCAACCAACCAACCGACCGGTCGGACGGGGCGCGCGCGCGTGTGTGGTGGTCCGTTAGGTCCTCCCTCTCTCACAAAAGTGGGTCACCCCAAGGGGCAATGCCCTTGGGAGAGAGGCTCCTATCTTTATACACATTTCACCAAGTAAAACTACCAATGTGGTAGTTTTTCCACTAGAGACTCTATAGCTTTCAAAGCTATTCATATAAATTTTCAACAGAAGGTAGGTGGCTGCAGGAGGGAAGGGGGTTAGGGATTTAGGGTTACACTTGGGGGGACGGGGTCGTTTTGGGTGGGTTGGGGAGTGGGGCGGCCGCCCCCACTCCCCAACCTTCCCGAACAAAGATCGAGGAACAATGCAGATGATTTTTGGTTAGCCGAAAATCGACCGGTTTCGGTTAAAACCGGCGGTTAACTGCTAGCCGAACACCGATCCGCCAGCCCTAGTTACTAGTAGAATGAAATGACTGTTGTTTTGGGCCAGAAACAAGAATCTGTTCCAAGCTGAACACCATTGCTATGGGCCTGGAGCTGAGAAGGACAAACGCGTTCCATGGGCCAAACAGCGGACGGGAGAAGGAGGCAGAGGAATACATGTCCATCGATTTCATTGATGCCAAGCAGTGGCTCGCTGTTTGGCTAGAAGGATAAGAAAAATGAATTCTTCCCCAGTGATTTCCAGCATAAGCATCACTTAATTGGTCATTTGGATGGACGTGATTAAGGTTTACTTTCGTAGCCTTAGTTAAAGGTTTTACACGGCTAATGCTTTGTCGTCGTCCCTTCGATAATAACTCGGCCATGGAATACTAATCTCCCAAAAATATTCATGTAGTTTAATATATTGATTTTATTTAGAGGGTTAATTGATAATGCTATACTACATAATCATCGGCGGATAATAAGTTGCACGCACCACAACCACAAGTTTCGCTGATTCCTTGATTACATATAAGCAAAAATTAATTAAAAGCATCTCCGCCGCCTCAATGAACGTTGCCGCCGCTGCCTTTGGAACCACCATCTCCGCCACCGTAACCACCACCGGGGACAGGAGGGTTTGGCGCTTCACCGCCTCCGGGAACCGTGGGAGGACAGAGTGCAGGAGAACCGCCGGGATATCCACCTCCTCCTCCTTCACCACCACCGCCCCCTCCCCCGCCTTTTCCACCACCTCCACCTTTACCACCGTGACCACCTTTTCCACCATGAGATGATCCCCCACCACTGCCTCCTCCGTATCCTCCTCCTCCTCCTTCATCATGGCCTTTTCCTTTACCGCCGACGCTGCCTCCTCCAGATCCGCCACCACCGCCTCCGTAACCTCCTCCAGCACCGCCGCCACCTCCACCGCCGCCTCCTCCACCACCAACTCCTGAACCACTTCCGCCGCCACCTCCAGGTGATCCCCCGGTGCCTCCTCCTCCACCACTGCCGGTTCCATGCCCATATCCGCCACCAGTTCCTCCTCCTTCACCTCCGCCGGTTCCTCCACCACCACCAGTGCCTCCTCCCCCACCACTACCGGTGCCACCGCCGGTACCTCCACCACCGCCGGTTCCTCCGCCTTTTCCATGTCCATATCCACCACCACCACCAGTCCCTCCTCCACCGCCGCCCGTACCGCCGCCAGTGCCTCCTCCTCCACCAGTACCACCGCCAGTTCCACTTCCATAGCCTCCCCCTCCACCACCTCCTCCTCCGCCAGCACCGCCGCCGGGCCCAGAACAAAACTGATCACACAGCAATTTACCCAACGAAAACCCGCCCCCACCGCCGCCATTACCACCAAAGAAACTCTGAGGACGCTCAACGTTGGACCTCCCTACACTTGTAGTAGAGAACGAGGCAGCCTCTTCTCCTTCCATCTTGCGGCTTTGCGCCATCCCCATCCACGACGTCAAAACCAATGCACACACCATCACCGCCAACTTCAATATTCGCTTCTCCATCGAACAAAAAACTTCAATCGATCTAAATATTTTTTTTTCCCCCTTTGTTTTTGCTCGTTACTCAGCTCATGAGTGCGTGGTAAGTGTACTACATTATCAGTAGGCCAAAAAGGCGGGAATTTATAGGGAGAGTCGTAGTGCAAAATTGTGAGGGTGAATCAATCTACGTACGCACGTATGAACGTAATAAATTGATGCAGTTAGTTGGTACTGGGGAGGTACGGTGGAATGTTTAATTATGATGGCCCTATGGCTTATTCAGGTAGTGGATTATTGCATGGATTTTTGGTCTGTCCAGCCAAAAAGAGCCACCAACGTACATAATTAGTAGTGCTCCTTAAATTGGGTGGTTATGTCTTATATTCCACTACGTAAGGCTGTGATGAAGGATCGATGCATGGTATCCCAAGGTCAAACTCCCAAGTCCCAACTACTAGTCAAGCCAGTGTATTAAAAAAGGTGATGCAGGGCGGTAAAATTAAAATATTTGTTACTAGAATATATAACAAAGGTTTGAGGTGAATTACCACAAGATTACCCCGATTTATAACAAAGGGTAGATGAACTAGGCTGATTTAAATGGTTTACTAGTTCACTATTTTAACTACAAGAATTTAAAGAAAAACAAATCTTACTGTAAATTAAGACTATCTAATTTCATTTATGCTTTATTGTTTTCATTTTCCCAGCTTTCTTGTCGGATTTATCTAATTGCCACTCTTATTATTGACTTGAGTTTAATAATAATAAAAAGTATGGTTTCTTTTGTCACACAATTTAAATAGTTTGTTATAAGTTTTTTGTGATAGTTGATATGGGTTTGGAATTTTTCATGACTACTGATAAATTCACTCCTAAATTAGTGTATTAGATATGACTCTTATATTATAGCACATTAACGATTCTAACAACTGTTAACTAACGGTTTTATAATAGTTAATTATTGAACCAAAACTTTTTCCGTTCCGCATCCTATCCGGTTACGAAAACATTAGTTTCTATATTACTTTTATTATTCTGAAATTCGGAATAGCTTGCTGTAATCACAGCCTCAATTTTTCAAACAGTGACTGAATTGATTTGTATCTCATTCGTCCGATACATTCTTTTTTTTTCTTGAATGTGGTTTTTTTAGTTATAGGTACAACATGCCCCTCTACTATGTCATTTTATCAAACATGCCCCTCTACTATGTCGTTTTATCAAACATGCCCCTTCTACTATTTTTTACATCAAACATGCGCCTGTACTTTGAAAAAATTATCAAACATGCACTTATGTTAAAAATTTTATCCAAAAACCGTTAACCACGGCCCAACTTTTGTTTGGGCGCCACAAATGTCTAAAATATCTCGACTAATTTCACTTTAGAATATTTTTGGTTCTTTTATATAGCCAAATCATCCTAATAATTTCACTTTGACGAGACTCAGAGAAATAAAACAGGGGACAAAACTGGCATTTTCCCTCCCATTTCCCGATATCGGGTCGTCTAAATCTCGGTTCAACCATGATTGACAATTTTTTCAATGAAAATTTTAATAGAAGGGCATGTTTGATAATTTTCCAAAGTACATGGGCATGTTTGATGTAAAAAATAGTAGAGGGGCATGTTTGATAAAACGACATAGTAGAGGGGCATATTTGATAAAATGACATAGTAGAGGGGCATATTATACCTATAACTTTTTTTTCACAGCGGATAATTAAGTACTATGTAACCGTGCCACAGCTTGTAATTAATCAGACAAACCTAACTGATAAGGTGAGGGGGAATTAAAGGCAGTAGTTTGGGATGGCCGGCCAAGCAGAAGGTATCAGTCTCAGCAGCCAAATGAAGCAAGGGAGCCATCAATTAGTTTCCTCTCTGTCCTGTTACGTACGACGCCGTTGCCAGTTTGCTCTGTTGGTTTCCATGATTGGTTGATTCGCCTCCATTTTACAAGCTGGGGTGATTGTTACTGCCTAACCTTCCCCTTCCACTGAGCAGTAGGCGAAATTAAATGAGATTAACGGTGACAGAATCATATATCAGCTTAGTCTGTAATACGTGATGGGAGTTGGTAGGCCAATCCAACGTGTTTATGATCAGATCTCTGTTGAAGCCCAACGTATCACTCCCAAAGAACACGGGTCTTGTTACTTATATACGGTCGTACTCTTTCCATGGGCTGGGCCTCATTTTCGCTACAGATTTCAAGCTTATACTGTTCACATTTTGGCCCAAAACTGTCCATTCTTCGCACACACATAGATATAATTAAATAGGTAATTAATCTTGTAGACAGTGGCGGATTCTGAAAATTTTCACAGGGGTGTCTTCTTCAAAAATTAAATTTAATTATATAATAAATTAAATAATTCGTATATTACAAATATCATACTTGTATAATTTGTATAAATTTTTTATTAAATAGTAAATGAAAATTCATATTTTGAAAAAATAATATAAATAAACTCCGTGTCTGCAATGTTAAAAAAAGAAATCTACATATCCTACTAGACAATACTTCACGAACTAATCACATATTCGATTTCTAATCTTGTTCTTAATGTAACTCAAAGTAGAAAAAACTCTTTCAACACTTGCCGTGTAACCATAAAATCAATTCAAAATTAAGGATAGCGTGTACGTAGTTTAATTATTAGCTATTGAAGATAGTTGGGGATAAAGAAATAGCGTTTTACTGTTGCATGATGTTTAAAACAAAATAACAAATGAGTAGCAACATAATTAGAATATGTTTGATAATAGTAGTGTCCTAGGTTGGAATAACACGGACTACCACTTATATTTTGTTAATCATAAGCAAACTATTATCGAGGGTAGGATAATCATTTTTTCAAATGTTAGGGTGTCCCGAATTACCAATTATATTTTGTATACCCATACGAAACTACTACCGGAGGCTGGATAATCGTTTCCCCAAATTTTAGGGGTGTCCCGGGACACCCCTAGAGGCCCATGTATCCGCCCCTGCTTGTAGACACCACATTTTGTCGGGATATAAAACTTGTGACTCGAATTTGCGCACCAAAAGAGAGTTTTAATATTCGAGAATGATAGTCCGGTCTTTCGTTCCAGTTTCATGTGAGAGCATTTGAGTTTGATGACAGGGGTTAAATTCGAAAAGACACGTGCCAGAGTATAGGATTCAAGAATTAAAAATTTGATACAATCATTAAACATCATTACAAATTTACAATACTTTGTATACCACATTTTGATTCAAGAGTATAGGTTTCATGTAAGAATTTCAAATTTGCCTAAGAGTCAAGCCCAATGCTTCAAAGACTTTCAGGCGTGGATCTGCAAAAACAAAGAACTCATGCATGGATCAGCCATTTCCCTGCAAAAACAAAGACAAAATTAGTCAAATCAAGCCCAAATTCGAATTCCCAAAGTCCACAAGTTCAAACCAAGATATCAGAGCCCAGTTCGGCTCAAGAGAAAGACTAGACCAAACCGATTTTAAGCCCATACGAAGACCAGATTGGCCCACAAAGCCTAGCCCAACTCTCCCAACTTGGCCCAAGACCATGTGGCAACCTTATCAATAACTTACACTGACCAGTCAGGAGTCAGGACCGACCTAGTGTGGTGGAGGTCTCACAATTGGCCTCAAAACCAACGAGTGACCAATCGACACGTGGCATGACCTTTTTACTATAAATAAGCTCTTTTAGCTCTTTGTTTTGGGGGACGGTTTTGGGAGAAGGGAAAAATAGACACATAAACGTAAATTTTGAAAACACTCTTTTCCTTACAACACCAAATTTAGTCCAAAAATCTGAGGGAGAAGCGATCAAAGAAGCCTTCCTGGAGCGGAAATCGAAATAAATCTCATCTCATTTTGTCCAATTTATGCTCAATCATCGTACTGTTATAATAGTCCATATACTTGCCTATATATTCAGTTTACGCACTCTATTTACTTGTTCATGCCAATTCTATTTTGGCATCAAGCTTCTTTCATTTAAGCATTTACTTACCTTTTTCCATTTGAGCGTTTACTTGTTTTTTAATCAATTTCTAGTCTATTTCAAATCTGTATTGTGCTTTCATTTTCCTTCTTTAGGATATAATAATTGATAATCAAATTACGACATACATAGACAAATTAAAGTAGAACTCAAGCTGCTAAAACTTCAAATAACGAAAACATTTTTCCTTTTTTTATGAACCATGATCAGTGTCTATCTAAATCCAACAAAAATTACTTGAACACAACCAATTTCAGATTTTAAAATCTCATAACAATATTCTTAGTCTAGCAAATCACAGGCACAGACAGTGATTTATAGTCCCTTAGTCTACCAAAATCACACACAGATGTAGTGACTTACAATCTCATAACTAACAATTCGAAGCATGTTAATCAAATTTCCATTACAGAAAAATTCCCTTTTGACGACTTCAAACATATCTAGACCTACATCTAAAATAAACTCAACCATTTTTTTTTATCAAAACTCATGTCTTTAACTCACTTCTAGTTCACAATATTCATGTCCAAATCACCACGAAACAACCCAAACCAAATCATAATTTTAATTCTTGAATAAGTCCTATATGATTTTAGACCCGATATTTTAACGAAAATTTGAAGTTACAAATCTCAGAACAGCAATCTATACTGATAATTTTCAGAAAATCCACTGAAATAAGTCCAATTTGCAACAACAACAAAAAACACAAGTTCTACTGAAGATCTGTTAGCTATCCTAAAATCGCATAACCCATCTTTTAAGTTCGAATTCCTTAATCACGCTAAGCTGAATTAGGAGATCCTTACCCAAACTTGTCCACTCCCATATCCTGCACCAAAACGAATAGAAGTCAGAATCAATTAATATCGATAGAAAACCAAATACAAAATAAAGCTCACCTTCGTCCCTCTGAAGTTCACGTCGGCGGAGGGAGCTGCAATCTCCGGCAATTTCTACCTCACCGCCGGTAACCAAATCGGCGACAGGCTTTTTCCTCCACCCCTCGCACAAATCGAAACCCAGGAAAAATCAGAGTCCTCTATTACTAGAAAACCAAAGAAAACGCAGATGCATAGTCAAAACCATACCTAGATCGACTCATTTTCTAGTCGATTTGGGGTCGCCACCGTTGTTTTTTTTTTCTTCTTCTGAGATCCAGTGCCATCAACCCTCCTTTCTTTTTTCCCCTTCCGTCGAAACCCATAAGTACCGGAAACAAATAATTTCAAAACTTTAAAACTTCTCAAAATCGCCTAAAACGAATTAAAAAGAGCATGCATGTCTAGAATCTTACCTAGATCGAGACCTTCTAGGTCGATTGAACTTGATACGAGTGATTCCCTTGGCCAGCCGAGAAAGGGAGAAGACGGCGGCGCAGAGGAGAGAGCTAGGTTGTCGATTTTCCTTTCTCAGATTAGAGAGGGAGAACGCGAGAGAGAAAGGAGAGGAGAGAGTGACGGCGGCCGTTTGGGGTTTGTTTAGGCTAGGGTTTTTGGGTTTCTAGAAGCGAGAGGAGAGACGAGAATGAGAGGGACGAGAGAGAGAGAGAGAGGCGCCGTCCATAGAGAGAGGGCGGCCGCCTCTGGTTAGGGTTTAGGATTTCATCTTAGAGATGAATATATACCTCTACATTTTAATTGACAATTATGCCCTTAGGGTTTCGAAAATACTACACGCCCCTGCCACCGTTCTTTTGAGAATTTACCAAACTGCCGTTCCCCCTTCTCTGCACTAAAACGAGATCGACAAAAAAAATTGTGGTTAGCACATTTTGAACTGTCGTTCTCGGGGTGGAACACGGTCAAGGTCTGGCAACTTAGCCAGTTGGGCTGCTGGCCCTTCATGTGTTAATATAATCATCCCGTATAATTTTATTTATTTAAAATCCTTAATACGAAATGTTACATGCGGATTTAGTTTATCTCGTTTCTTTTCCAATACGTCAAAACACTTCCTAATAACTTAAATTCTTATATTCTCTTTTCATAATTTCATAATAATCAACTTAAATTTCATTAATCAAAAATTATAATACGAGAATTACGTTCAGCAGAACGTAGTAAAAATGTCACAATTAAACTATCAAAGTCCTAACGAACTACGTGGACTTTGATCCCGTCTAACGGGTAAGTAGGCAACCGATAAGGTTCGAGTCCAACTAACCAATTAACTTTATCGTTTACGTTAGTGGGCGTACAATTAAATTACAATTAATACGATTTAATATTTTTAATGGTCCAGTGGGACCCTAAAATTACAAAAATATTACTAAAAATACACCCAATTCGTATAAAACTTATCAACTTAAGTAGTATCGATTTAGGACGTTGTGGGGTGTGATTTCACTTCCCCACACGTAACCGTACTCCTGAACCCATATCTATTAACCGAAGACCATATCTCGGTTCTGACCCTAAGGTTAGAGCCGACCGATGAGTATTCGCTCCACTCCAAGTAAGATCGATGGCGACTCCCAAAAATGCCGACGCGACGACATCGGACCCCCGGGGGGACGGTTGCGACAAATCTAAATATATTTTTTTATCTATGAATAGTAGGGTTGGACAGTGCTAACACTTTTTTTTAGCATGGTGCTAGCACTAGTTCCAACCTATATAAACATTTCGTTTGGATGACTTTTTCATTTAAATGAGTTGACCACAATTAATGAAGGGGAAAGGAAGGAGGGGCACATTGGTCATTAATAAAAATTGGGAGAAGGGAGAGTCACGTGTGCAATTAAATGAAATTAAATGAGGAAGAAAAAATCCTCCCCACAACCACAAAACCTTCTCCACTAATAATGCTCCTCACAAACCACGTAAATGCGTAATCCTCCCCACAAACCACAAAATCCAGGCCACAAGTTTCTTAAAGTGTCCCAGAAGTTTCTTAAGCAGTGGACCTATTTGTAAAATTTTAAAAGTTCAGGTACCAAAATGTAAGAGAAAAAAATGCAGATACGAAAATGTAATTTGTCATCAATATTTTTAGGACTTATATGTAAAAAATAGGCACTAAATGTAAATATGTATAAAGTTAGAGTACCAAAACTGTAATTTGTATATATAACTAGGGGTGACTATACAGTCCGGTCCGGTTAAATTGGACCAAATAGATTCGGTCCAGTCCGGTCTTTTCGGGAATATAAGGACCAAAGATTGGATTGGATACAATCCGGTCTTGACCCGGTCCGGTCCTAATTTGATCTTGATTTTAGGTGTTGGGGGTCTCTTATCAGGTCTTTATCCGGGTTTTTTACCTCAAATCTAAACCCGAATATGAGATTGGATTGTTTGCTATCCGATCCCAGTCCGGTCTCGGTCCGGGTTATACGGTCCGGTTTTGGGTAAAACCAAACAGTCTGGACCAAATAGCCAACCCTATATATAACCTTATGACCTCAACACAGAGAAAGAGGCAAAGGAGGGCGAAGGGGAGTAATTACTATAGTACTCTTAATTAGGGATGACAATGGATCGATTTGGGGCGGGTTATGCCAAACCAAAACTCATGGGTTTATTTACCAAAATAACATAGGGTAAAACCCACTAGATTTGAAAAACTCAAACCCAACCCAACCCTACACGCTGGGTATCCACGGGTTCATGGTTACCCATGGGTTCATGTACAAAGATGTAATTACACTAGTTTTCACTATTAAAACTACATACACACTAACTCACAAATCATTCATACTACTTGTTCAATATTAAAGATAAACATCCACAAATAATATAATTAGTTAAGGGTCCCGTAGGTCGTGGGGGGTATGAACATGGGTGCGGGGATCCACGGGTTGGATATGACTAAACCCAAACCCAACCTGCAAAAAGTATAGTGGGTTTAAACCCGACCTGCATACATCAAAGCAGGTTTTACCCGCACTGACCGGGTTGGGTCGGGTAGGGTACCCGCAGATTCTGGTTCTACTGCCATCCCTACTTTTAATGAAGGTGTCAGCACTCTATCTTTTCACTGAATAGTAGAATAGTGCAATAAGTGCATGATCCTATTCTTGACACATAAATAAAATACAACCATCCATATTATTATATGCATGATACATAGCTATTACATGAGTAATACAATCCTCATAATATTTGTATTAGCAAGCACTCAATATTTAGGTCTTTGCATGAGAAGGCACTCAATAACTAGACCTTAAAATTTTGTGAAGTCAACAGGTATTAGATATATATTTCATCTATACCATAATTTATCTATTTGTGTAAATAAAACTATGAGATATTGAAGGAAATTAACTGAGATCAAATTACTATTCAATTTGAGTGAATGCCACATCTATAGCTTCCTTATTCTTATAAAGCCAGTGTTTTTCTTGTGGTCTTTCTTTATGGAATTTTATGTTTCAGATTTGCCACCATACAGAGAAGGATGTAAGCGACTAATTTGTTATGTGGAGAAAATGCCATGTTTCGAATCGGGCTTTAAACTTATACTAGGTGCAGGCCATGTTTCCTTGCAACTATTTTAGTTTGCCTGAACCATATATTTGCAGGTCAATTCCCAAGAGTAGAGAATATATGTAGGAGAGGTGGCCGAGTGGTTCAAGGCGTAGCATTGGAACTGCTATGTAGGCTTTTGTTTACCGAGGGTTTGAATCCCTCTCTTTCAGCAGCTTCATCTTCGCCTAATTTATCAATTTTACTGACCGAAATGGAGCTAATTCCATAACAACGGACACATTTATTCCAACAGTTATAGCTTCCCTTTATAGAGATTCCCTATTCCTAATTTGTTTGGTATAGAAAATACGGGAAAGAATGGACAAAGAATGAAAACATCCCCAGAATTTTTCTGATCTATGAATGGGCGAAAAATTCCCCGACCCCTTACCTTCTATATCTTCTTTAGGTTCGAACCCTTGTTATTTTAGTTAGGCTTAGGTTGCTATGGCAATGAGAGACATCACAACGTTCTTAAGCAGTCTTCGTGCAAACAAATGGTATGCTTAAGAGAGACTCTTTTGGTCAAGAGTTGTTGCAGCTAGGGCTATTAATGAGCCGAGCCGAGCTGAATTTTTCATAGTTCGCGAGCCAGCTCATTTAGTTATGAAATTGCAAGTTCGAGTTCGGCTCGTTTATGAAAATGAAAGTTCGAGATCAGCTCGCCAAATATGTTTAACGAGCCCAAAATCGAGTTCAACTCATAAAATGTTCATGATAGCTCAAGATTGAGCTAGAAATGAGCACAAATTTACATTAAAACCTATAGCAAAGTCTAGCCAAATAAAACACAAATTTATCCCAATTTCAATACTTAAAGTCCATGAATTCCAATCCTTTCTGATGCCAAACCGTTTAATGAACTTGTTCGCGAGCTTTCGAGCTAAACATGATATGATTCGAGTTCAGCTCATTTAGTTAACGAGTTTATTCGTGAGCCAGTTCGATTAAGATGAATCGAATTTCGGACGAAATTTTCTAGAATCGGACACTAAACCGTTGATAAGCGGCGTGATTCATTAACCAATAAGGATAGTTCCTCTGCGTAAAATGGGCCTGACCTCCACTTAATACCTTAGTCCTTACTCCTTAGAGCTCATTTTCCATAGGAATGAGTGAAGCCCAATCCATCGCATCGTCGTCTTCCTTCTCCTGGACGGTGTGAGAACTGAGAAGCCGAAGCAGGCAGAGGAAGGAAACGGAGAAGAAAGCCGCTGAGCTCGAAGTGGAAGAAGAAAAAATGGCAGGCAGTAAATTCTCCTACAGATCCAGATCCCCAATCTTCCTATTCTTCATCGCCGCCATCTCTCTTCTCCTTCTGCTCTTCCTTTTCTCATCCTCCTCATCTTCTCCTCCTTCATCCCCTGAACTTCCCACCGCCGTCTCTTCCCGCCGGCCTGAAACCTCCTTCGTCACTTCCCTACACAACTTCCTCTCCCGCCCCATCCCTCCCGACGCCGGCGAAAACGGTGGCTACGGCGCTCCCGCCGCCTTAGACGACGCCGTCTTCCTCCGCGAGACCGACCGAATGTACCGTCCCCAGAACCCTAATTACCCGCTCGATTTGCCGATCAGGGTTTACGTGTACAACATGCCACACAAATTCACCTACGAATTGCTTCGATTGTTTGCCACAACTTATCGAGACACCAACAACCTCACCTCCAATGGCAGCCCCGTTCATCGACTCATCGAGCAGCACTCGGTCGACTATTGGCTTTGGGCCGATTTGATATCTCCTCAGTCGGAGCGGCCACTGAGGAACATTGTGATCAGAGTTGATCACCAGGAAGATGCCGATCTGTTCTACATTCCTTTCTTCACGACCATCAGCTTCTTCTTGCTGGAGAAGCAGGATTGCAAGTCGCTTTATAGGGTGTGAGTGCTCTCTTATTTCAGCTGTTTTTAAATGTTTCTTTTGCTATGGCATCTATGCTCTATCTCATTTAGTTAACTTCCATTAACAGCTATCTGCTGCTGTAGGAAGCTCTGAAATGGATAACAGAACAGCCTGCTTGGAAGAGGTCTGAAGGGAGGGATCACATACTTCCAGTGCATCATCCATGGTCGTTCAAGTCGGTTCGTAGATACGTGAAGAAGGCTATTTGGTTGTTACCGGATATGGATTCCACGGGGAACTGGTAAGAGTTTAGATTCGTGTTCTTGTTCAAATGAAATCTCACTCATTAGCTAGTTTCTCGGTGTGTAATGTATACGGTAATGCTTCACCTGCATGCTGTAGGTATAAGCCAGGACAAGTTTACCTGGAGAAGGACTTGATCCTGCCTTATGTCGCCAATGTTGATCTATGTGATGCAAAATGCTTGTCTGAAACTGAATCAAAGAGGAAAACCTTGCTGTTTTTCAGGGGACGGCTCAAGAGAAATGCTGTAAGATATATCTTTGGGTCATGAGCATTGATATTTTTCCTTCAACTAACTGAGAATTGAGCAATCTATAGTACATCTGTCTGGCCAAATCATCCTTATTGCTTAAATAGATTGCATTTATCCAGAAGGATAAGATTGCTGAACACCAAGTTTTTATTTGTTGGGGCTGCACAGTTTTGGAGTTCATTTCCTAACGTTTTGTGCCAAAAAGATATTTTCTTTAAGATCGTATACATGTTTGGTTGGCAGCATTTCTTTTACCTGGATTTTGGTGCTTAGTGCTCCCTTTACTTTTCTTCAGGGTGGGAAGATACGTGCTAAGCTAGTTGCAGAACTAAGTGGAGTTGAAGATGTGATAATACAGGAGGGCACAGCTGGTGAGAGAGGGAAAGAAGCAGCTCAAAATGGCATGCGCAAGTAAGCAACAGTGTCGCCATTTTTTCCAATGCTTTTCTTTATGATCTATTTAATGTTGGCTAGTTACTCTTAACTCTTCCTCTTCAGGTCCATCTTCTGCTTGAATCCAGCTGGAGACACTCCATCATCTGCAAGGCTATTTGATGCGATTGTCAGTGGATGCATTCCAGTCATAGTTAGTGATGAGTTGGAGCTTCCTTTCGAAGGAATTCTTGACTATAGAAAGGTAGGCACCCCTCTATTTGTTGAAATGGGAAAGCTATGTTGTGAAGATACGTAGATGATAATCAACAGCATCAAAATGCTGAGCTGACCTCCAAAGGTGAACAAAAACCTTGTCTGCTTGGTTTATCTGGTTTACAAGTCCAGTTTCTCACAAGGGTTTTCATCCAACCTAAATGGTGGTTGAATTCACTTTGCTCCTACTTTGTCAATGCTGATAGTGAATACCGAAATACAAACTGTTAGGCAAGTTTGTTTTCGCGTCTCAGAGGGGTAGTTTTGATCGCTTGCTTTCTTGCTTACTCATACATCCAAAGTTTTGCTTGAATGCAGATAGCTCTGTTTGTTTCTTCGGGTGATGCTTTACAATCAGGTTGGCTACTGAAGTTCTTAAGAGGTGTCAGTCGTGCTGAGATAAAACAGATGCAAGCAAACCTTGCCAAGGTTTGAATTTTTTTTATTCACTCCCTACAAGCGTTCACTTCTTTTGCAGCCGATTCCTTTCTGTACTCATTGTATCACATTCTACACAATCCGCTGCTGTCATTGCTTCCTTTGTATGGTTCTGAATGTGGTATTTGCTGATTACTGCTAATTTGAAATAACTCTCTCTGTCAGTACTCGAGGCATTTTGTGTACTCGAGTCCAGCTCAACCATTGGGTCCTGAAGACTTGGCCTGGAGAATGATTGCCGGAAAAGTGGTGAATATTAAGCTACACACTCGAAGATCTCAGCGGGTGGTGAAGGAGTCCAGAAGTATCTGTACCTGTGATTGCAGACGGCCGGCTGCCAACGTTACCGTACAAGTCCGATAACCGGCGGCTGGCCTCCCTGCATCCGTCCGTTCTGCTAACAGATTGCTCATTCAGTGGCAAGTCAGATCCTTCTACTGCCCATACATACTCGGACTTAACTTGCTTCTTTTCATTTGATCAACTATTATTCAGTTCTGTTGCTCTACAAAATATTTGGTCTAATCTACCACTACCAGTTCCAATTTCTGTGGTTAATTTATGATAGTTCATCTTACCGGTTTAATTTTAGGTACGATTTTTTAATACAAATATTGGAATAAATCGGATCTAAGTACACTGATAAAAAGTAGTCATAGGATTATCAAAAATTAAAAGTAGTCATAGAAAGGAAGCAATCTGATTAGTTAACTGATTAATGCTTCTGCATTTTATTTATGTGGTTCATTCGGTAATAGGCTAGCTCACTAGCTTGTACTCCCATGCCTAGTCGGAGTGTTACATACATAGCTCGTTTGTGCGATGAAGCTTATACTTAATAGCCTTCACCAATCCCTCCGCCGCCACGGCCACGGCCGCCGCCGAAACCTCCACCACCTCCTTTCCCTCCACCAAAGCCACCACCAGCTCCACCTCCGCTACCGCCACCAGCTCCACCTCCAAAGCCGCCGCCGGACCCCCCTCCAGCTCCTCCTCCAAAGCCACCACCACCTCCAAATCCTCCACCTTTGCCGCCTCCGGCACCGCCACCACCTCCAAATCCTCCGCCTTTGCCGCCTCCGGCACCTCCACCGCCTCCAAATCCTCCGCCTTTGCCGCCTCCAGCGCCACCACCAATGCCTCCACCTTTGCCGCCACCGGCACCGCCACCACCTCCAAATCCTCCGCCTTTGCCGCCTCCAGCGCCACCACCAATGCCTCCACCTTTGCCACCTCCGGCACCTCCACCACCTCCGAAACCTCCGCCTTTGCCGCCTCCAGCGCCACCACCAATGCCTCCACCTTTGCCACCTCCGGCACCACCACCTCCGAATCCTCCGCCTTTGCCGCCTCCAGCGCCACCACCAATGCCTCCACCTTTGCCGCCTCCGGCACCTCCACCACCTCCAAACCCTCCACCAGTGCCTCCACCTTCACGACCACCTCCTTTGCCTCCACCCTTTCCACCACCAAATCCTCCGCCTTTGCCACCCCCTTCACCGCCACCAATACCTCCGCCCTTGCCGCCTCCAAAGCCACCGCCTGCTCCACCACCTTTCCCTCCGCCTCCTCCAAACCCTCCACCACCTCCTATTCCTCCACCTTTGCCTCCTCCGAACCCTCCACCGCCTCCAGCGCCACCTCCACCTCCACCACCGACTCCTACTCCTCCACCTTGGCCTCCTCCGAAACCTCCACCCCCACCGGCACCACCGCCAGCTCCGCGGCCAATCGTCTCATTCTCTTCATCTTCTTCCAGCCTACGGCATTGTGCTAGGCCGAGACCCAATGCCAGCATCACAACAAGGATGGCTCCAACATACTTGGAAGTCACCAGCTTCCCCATTTCGACAAAAGAAACACGAAATTGATTACTCAATGTACTATTTTTGATGACTTTGCTTGAGTAGTAGATACCTGAGTAGGCGAACGAGCCGCTATTTATAGTGTGGGGTGGTGGTCGAACTAGTATACTACGTAGTACGTTAGTAAATAGTTCCAGCTACGTAGCATTAAGCATTGAATGGAGGCAGGTGGTGTTCAGCAATTGAGAGTCGTCGAAATTTTTTTTTTTTCATGTCTCCTAATTTATGCAATTATGTGCATATGTGGCTCTTCTTTTTCTTCCTCTCGCTCTCAAAGAAAATGAGGATTTTATAGATTTGATTTGTTCTGCCGCATACTTAAATTAGGGGGGGGGGGGGGGGGGGGGGGGGGTTGTAAATGTTCGATACATATGGGACCACATCGGATCAAACCGAAGATTGTACCAGAACGCACAGATTATAATACAGTCCGGTTTTTGGTCTCCATGAATTTTATAATTATTGAAGAAATAATGGACCAAACTGATCTTTGGGCCAGAACAATCCGAATCAAATGTATCAAATGCAATAATGGTATGGTTTTTCGTTTTTGGTACTAACATGTCTTTCACTAATAGACCGCGGTTCTCATGAGTTTGATTCGGTCCGAACCTAATCTTTTGCGCATCCTACTTAAATGTGTTTGTTTGACGAAACTCGAAGTTGTGTCCGTTATTCGGTGATAGCATCAAGCTCTTCTATTTGTAAAGCCTTTCCATAATATTTTGGGAAGGTTTATGTCTCGACTCTCGTCTTATTCTTGTAACCTTTTTAATATTTTTAGTTATTTAGTTTACTGAATGAAAATGTTGATTTTGTATGTGATGTCTCACGATTATGAAACAAGAGAATGACTCTAACTGGAAATTTTGTAAAAGTCTTTTCATACAAAATAGTCTTCTCTCCATGGTTCAATTACAGAATTACTTCATTGATGAATTGATTGGGGCAGAAAATTAATTTGATTGGTAAATGAGATTAGTGTAATTATATGAAAAAAATGAATTTGCATGATTAATTAATAAAATTGTGTGAACGTGTAAATGCTATATGTGATATTCATGGTTATCAAATCAGTGGCATGCCGGCCGGTACAACCGTTATCAGTTACAAAATCGACTAGAATGTCCTTGGTATGACCGACATAACCAACTTGACCTCTCAATAGAATGATGTTGATTTGATGACTTTAATTAACAAAACAAATGATTTGATTCTTCAATTAAAAAAGTTAAATATTGATGTTATTTGTTGAATTCAAATTATGAATGTTTAGATGTCTATGTTATGAATGAAGTATAAACTATAAACGTCTAGATATTGGAGTTAAATCTTGTATTTGCATATGTGGATTTTTTTTTTGAAATGTATTTTATTTAGATATGGATGGAGATTTTGGAGAGATTGTCTTCAAATATGTTATATACTTTTATATTTATATATATATGTCTAAATTCATTTAGTGTTAATGATTTCCAACATTTGAGGGGGAGAAACTGGGGGTGAAAGGAGATTTTGAAAGGAGTAAAATTTTGAAGATAGTCAAATGATGAGCGAAAAGTGGTGTTCAATTTTGAAGGGAAAAAAATCCAATAAAAGACAAAAGTTGTTTCACCACAAACTACAAATTTTATGAACAATGAAAAAATTATGAATTCCTCTAATTTCCCCTTTATCCCACCTTCTATTTTCCTTCCTCATGAATAGATAATATATTTTTTGCTAAAATCGGTACAAGTTGTACTACGAGTTGTACCATACTACTTGTCAAATCGACATATATTGGTATAGTTTGACAATTTTGATGAATTCCCGCAAAAGCTCGGCCATAAATAAACGTCGGCAGGAAAAAGTGTAATTATCATTTTAAAGTTGACTATGAAGATATACATTAGAGTATCTAGATAGTGCACTTATTAGACGGCAAGCCATAATGATATTGAACAAGTACGTCTCAAGTCCCCAACAACCAACTAACTTCGTTCCTCCACATTATGATCATTTGGCCAACATCCTCTCTTCCAAATCCCTTAATCAATCCACGAAGCCGCGTAATGTGAGTTGCAATCATAGGTCTATTGTCATCTTAATGGCCGAGCTCAGCAGATTGTGTTAATAATTCTATTATCAAGGATTCAAATGTAAATTATATTCGACTTCAAACGCCTAAATAATTTACTAAATCAAAAGTCTATCTATTTCTAATAATAGTTTAAGGGTCATCAATGGGAGCGGTTCCCTTTATAATTTAAAAGTGTATAAACGCTATATTTACAATTTATGAAAGGCTATTAACTTTCTCTCAGTAAATTTTAGCAGACTTTATTCTTTCGTTTTGAGTTGAAACTAAAAAGAATTACACATAAAAATCAGATTAATTGCGATTTTCAAAATGACATCCACTTTGATATATTTTGGAAGAAAAAATTTGCACTTTTATTATCAGCCCATACCATGTGATACTACTTGATATGTACATATGATTATACCATTTGGTATGGAAGTGTGTATCGTGGTGGTATGAACACACCAGAGTGTAGAATGGTTGCATACATGATATTAGAAATATATTAACCGTCATTTAGCACCTTTCATCAATATAAACCACCAATTATCCCCCTGTAACAAGATGGTATAGGGTGGTACGTTATGTGTTGTAAATTTTTTCCCCAGAAATTTGTAGACCTAATACATCACGACAAACTCGTTCTTTCGAAGCAAAAGTTTTTAAAATTCGAGTTAAAAACGAAGGTGGTACCAAGTGATACCAAGGTGGTAACGAGTGGTTAGGGCCGAAAAAATTGACTAGACCTTTGAAAACCATGGTCCAAACTGGACTGTACAGTTTGGTCTGGACCGTAGATTGTTAACTGTTAAGTAATAAGTATGGTCGGGTCTGATACACGATTTGCATCATATGATGTTTTGATCTCTTGATCTGTTCTGCTTTAGACCGCGGTTTGTCGGACCAAATCGTGGACCCAACCGACTTCTCAGTACATGTTAGCAGCCCACTAGACCACTTCCTCAACTCCCACAACGATACCCAAGTCTCAATCTTAATTTTGAGAATCTCGTCACCACCTTCTTTCAGGTGCACATTTCACCAGAGAGTAAAGACGATTGTGTCTCCATATGACATTATGTTAATGTTTATGACATTATAATGCAAGTCAGGATGCTTTGACTGTGTATATTTGCTATTTACTGAGATTTATGATGTCAAAATTATTCATGCATGTTTGAATTTATGTTTTAAGGCAGAAAAATAGTTTTTTTGTTGGTTATTGGTTCAATTTTATGTGGTTGACTAATCAAATTGTTCATTTTTTGTTTAGTGTGGTCTATCTAGACTAGTTGAAGTAATGAGCCTCACATATATATTTATATGGGAGATTCATTACTTCAATTACGACTTAAGCTAATGAAAAATCATTTCATCTTTTTATTTTTTAGTTGGAACTTTAGGCGGTTCTCGAAAAAAGATAGCGGAAAAAAATTATTCCTAGAGTCGAGACTAAGAGGAATGTATAAAGTATAAACCATTGCTTCCATAAATTCGATCGTGGTTTAGAATTATAGCTTCCATACCTGTTTATTTAGGATCATCCTATATGTTCCCTGTAGAAAATATAAAAAAAGCAAGATTCGAAATGTCTTCGGTATCTTATTTCAAAGTGAAATTAAAAAAAGAAAACAGAAGCGAAAAATAACAGAGAAATCTTGTATCAAACTACTTGTCTTTTGTAGTTGGATCTCGTAGTTTTTGAAATGCTCCAAATTCCACTAGAGCATCTAAATCTGGATCAATACCAGCAAAAACGTCTCTGAACAAGGTCCTAACACCATGCCAAATGTGTCCGAAGAAGAAAAGCAGAGCAAACGAAGCATGTCCAAAAGTAAACCAACCCCTTGGACTACTATGAAAAACACCGTCTGATTTTAAAGTAGCACGATCTAATTCAAAAATTTCACCCAATTGAGCGCGTCTATCTTATGTTTTCACAGCAGTAGGATCACTTTTGAGGAACACGGAGACTAGTTGAAGTAATGAGCCTCCCATATATATTTATATGGGAGACTCATTACTTCAATTACAACTTAAGCTAATGAAAAATCATTTCATCTTTTTTATATTTTAGTTCGAACTTTAGGCGGTTCTCGAAAAACAGGCGTGGTCTAGACCGTATAGTCTGTGGTCTATACTCCAACCTCTTGGTCTGGACCGTAAACCGTATACATGGTCTGGTCTAGATGCGAACGCACCATTTTGCAGCCCTTCGAGTGGTATGTGATAAGGATAATTCTTAATTACTTTGTAATTATATTAAGTCATGTACTTAGTGGTTAGTTAGCTCCCTCTTTGTAGCTACTTGGGATGGCTTTCTTGTAAAGTGTATATAAAACACTACTCCCATATCTAATAGAGATCACAATATTCCAGCAATCACATGGTATCAGAGCATCGGTTCTAATCTCCTTAACATAGCTCCCATATCTAATACCTCTCTTCTGCCCAGATTTCTTCTCGTCTCATCATGGCAGGAAACTCCAGCGAATCCGTGATCAATCTCAATGATCCCAACCAAATTATCACGTTGAACCGAGCATCCCAACTTCCCACCAAGCTGTCCGGCGACAACTTCCCCACCTGGCGGGCACAACTGTTCACCCTTCTCCGTGGCCTCGATCTTCTCCGGTTTCTTGACGACACGCATCCTGAAAGAGCAGCCACTGCATCTGCTGCTGTCCGCACTCACTGGTTCCGGCAAGACCAGCTCCTACTTCATGCTATTCTTGCCTCTCGCCAAGCCTGGACGATCCTGGAGCGAATGTTCGCCAGTCAATCTTAACAACGAGTCATCAATCTCAAGGACAAACTCAGTCAAGAGAAGCAAGGCAATCGTCCCGTCTCTATCTATCTCCAAGCAATGCGTGCCACCGCTGCGGAACTCGCCCTTGTCAATGCTCCAGTTGCTCTGGAAAATTTAATTCTTCTTGTGCTCCGTGGATTGCGGGAGGAATTTGGTCAGCTTGCTATTGCCGTTCGTGCTAGGGACACGACCATTCAGCTGGAAGACCTTCATGATCGTCACGTCGATTACGAAGCAGATTTGGCTCGTCTTCCTCAGTCCGTTGCTCCCACAACTGCTTTATCTTCTGTTCGTGGCCGTCCTCACCATCCTTTCTCCCTCTCTCCCGGCCAGCATCTTCGTGGTTCTACTCCACCTCTCTCCTATGCCACCGACACTTATTCCCGCCGTGAGTCCAGCCCGCGTTCACCTCGAGGTCACTACTCTCCTCGCTCGTCTCAAGGATACTACTCCAGCCCGCCTGCTCCCTCTATACTCGACCGACCCCAGTTGCTTTGTCAGTTTTGGGACAAGGCTGGTCACTCGGCGAAAGAATGTTTCCGCATTCGTGGTCGTCCCCAAATGCACCATACCTCTGTCGCGTCCTCCTCCAATACCGGGTGGCTGGTTGATTCTGCGGCTACCAACCATATGACCCCTGACCTTAGCAACCTCTCTCTTTATTCTGATTACGCTGGTCCTGACGAAGTGCTTATCGGCGATGGGTCACGTTTGGCTATTACTCACATTCGGCACTCACATTTGTCTTCATCTCAAGCACTTTTGGATCTCCATAATGTATTATGTGTGCCCGCCATCAAGCGGCGTCTTCTCTCTGTTGCCCAATTATGTAAGACTAATCCGGTGTCGGTGGAATTCTTTTCTGATTTCTTTGTTGTGAAGGATCTAGCCACGGGGGTGCACCTATTACGAGGCCAGAATAAAGGCGACGTTTATGAGCTACCGCAAGAGACCCAACCCATTCGACTGGCCTTGACTGCGATGCGGGCATCCTCAGCACTTTGGCATAACCGACTCGGCCACCCTCACCTTAAGCTTCTCTCTCGTGTTATTCGTAAACAATCTCTCACTGTCACCTCTTTATCACATCGTGCTTCTTGTGAATCTTGTTCTCTTCACAAAAGTCATAAACTTCAATTTTCCATTTCTAGCCTTTCCAGTACCAAACAATTTGATTTGTTATACATGGATGTTTGGGGGCCTTCGCCTATTCTTTCACATGATCATTTTTCATACTATTTAGTCATTGTTGACCATTTCACCCGTTATACGTGGCTATATCCTATGTCTCGCAAATCTGATGTTCATGCCCTCTTTACCACCTATACTGCGATGGTTGAAAATTATTTTAACACCACCATTCGACGTGTTTATAGCGATGGTGGTGATGAGTTTCAAAAACTGTGTTCGTTCCTTCAAACTCGTGGAATCACCCATCTTTTAACTCCGCCTCATACTCCTCAACACAACGGTCTTGCCGAACGTAAACATAGACATATTGTTGAAACTGGTCTCGCCCTCCTCCACACCGCTAATCTTCCTCTTTCCTTTTCGTCCCATGTTTTTCAAACCGCTACCTATCTGATCAACCCTCTTCCCTCATCTACCCTCCATGGCCTTACCCCATTTTTTTTCCTTGTTTAATGAACAACCCAATTACCTCAAGCTCCGTGTCTTTGGCTGCGTCTGCTACCCTTGGCTCCGTCCCTATTCTGCCCACAAGTTGACTCCTCGTTCTCGTCGTTGTATTTTTCTAGGCTATTCCCTCTCTCAAAGTGCTTATAAATGCTAGATCCGGCTTCCCATAGAGTCTTTGTCTCTCGCCATGTCATATTTGAAGAATCCCTCTTCCCTGTTCTCCCTTCCCCCATGTCTGCTCACTATGACACACCCTCCTGGATTGCCATTACTACACCACCCATTACCATTCTTCACTTACTCAACTCACCGAACCACCCAAAGGCCCCGCCGCCGACTGCTTTATCGCCAATCTCTCCGCCGGCTCATAATCGCTCCGCTGCCTCCACCTCTGGTGTGTCCCCTGATGCTACTTCCTCTTCGCATCGCCAAGACCCACCTCCACCGCCGACTAAGGCCCCTCGCCGACTCGCCCCCCGCAGCCAGCATGGGATCTTTTGCCCAAAGAAATTATTTGCCTCGCAGGTTGGTCCTCCTGTCGAGCCCACTTCGGTCAGGCAAGCGCTCAAAGACCCCCGTTGGAATGCGGCTATGCGGGCAGAGTTTCATGCTTTGCTCTTGATGCTCTAAAACACAACACCTAACAATGGCCAAGTGTAACCAATGAAAGGGACTGCAGTATAGTGGCACAAGTAATAACTATCGAATCCACGGGTCTCTAGAGTTACTATTACTCAGCTTCAGTTCATTATCTAGCAAACTAGATTAAGGATTGATTAACTAAACTATTCTACTAACTAAACTAAGTAAAACTACTAATTACAGTTTGGGAACTCACTTAGGTATGATTCCCCCTAGCTCCTCAATTAGGTCCAAGTTGTAATTCATTTTGGTTGATTTACTATTGATTAAACTGCGGAAGATCCGACAGTAGCTTGTAATCTCTTAAGCTGACCAAGCCCTCTCAGTCTAACTATCCGGCAGACGACTAGTCTTCACCGGGATAGAAAGCTGAAGCAATAAGCACAGAACTCCACTACTGGAATTGGATTCCAGTACAAAGCAGTAAACTGGCTAACTCTCGTATAGCCAATCTCCTACTACCGAATGATGAGACTCTAGCAACCTAATCAGATTCTATCTATCTCAGATTGCAGCAGGAATCAGGAAAAGTTGATCAGACTTCAATTGACTCAATAAACATGCATCATTCGATTATAATCAAACAATATAGCATCCAAAACTTCATACAAGAAAGATCCTAACTCATGGAACTAGGGTTCCTCAAAACCTAAGTGAAGGGAAGTTACTCCATAGAGAAGAGAGAGACTGCAGAAATCTGATCTAGATCTTCAATCTCCATCTCCAAGCTTGATTCCCGAGCTCCAATGGCGAAGAAATCCTCCAAAATAGCTCCAAGAATGTTCCCAAGTCGCTCTCTCTCTCTAGGGTTCGTCCCTTGGGTGTTTGGGATCCAAAACCCAGCTCTCCCTCCTCTTTGGTTCGGAATTTGGCTTAAAACCAGGAAATCCCGACTCGCACGGCCAGGGTGCACGGCCGTGCATATCACCATTCTGGCCGTGCAACTCAAAACGCAGCGTGTCATTTAGTCGAACTTCAGCCCTCTCGCACGGCCAGGGTGCACGGCCGTGCGAGCTTCAGGGGTTGCCCGTGCGTGTCCTCGGCATAAGGCGCACGGCCATATTGCTCACGTGCACGGCCGTGCAGCCTCCCTGGTCTGCCCGTGCAGCTCCCCAAAAACCTCGCCATTCGTCCGTTCTTCGTCCAATTGACCCCAGACTCGCTCCTAAGCCTTCATTCACGTACTAGGACCTGAAACATCACAAACAAGCACAACCTAGCGTGAAATCGGTCTAAACCACGAGAAATCACATCTCAAACGGTGTAAGAACAGGGGTAAAAACATGTGTAATTAACGGTCTATCAAACTCCCCCACACTTAACCGTTTGCTTGTCCCCAAGCAAACCTAACTCAAACCAATGCAACTCTCCAGACCTCTATAGCAACAAACAACCCAGATCGTAGGTAGAGGACTTCCTAGATCATTTAGCAACTTACGAGGTCAACCGACGCACAAGTCATCTCATAACTTCTTCGGCGAGTCGGCATCACGGCAAATAGTGAACAGAGGACAAATGAATTGTGGATGAAGAGATTCTCAAAAACAAAAGATCATGGACTCACATTTTTCAAGGTGCTCTATTTTATTCTTGAAGATGGTTGGAACCCCCTTTTTTTCTATTTTGCTTGTTTTCTGTTATTTTTCTTTTCTTTTCTTTTCAAGGGTCCCAACCTGCTCTTACCGGCCATGCCAGGAGCGGGTGTCTCGAGCCTCGTGCGGGGGAAATACATGTAAGGGGGCTGGAGGTAGTAGGTGGAAATTGGGAACGAATTCCCGTCTCCCCTTACACACTTTCGCCCTATTCGCACGGGAGACGTTATTTGAAGCACATTTTCGAGCACCTGTTAAACTCAAAACATGATACAAGAGTCCATGACAGGCAGAGAATCCACAACACCACACAATTCAAGGGTCCTAAGATCACTAATTCACTCAATCAACCAACACAATATGAAGAAGAAACGAGACTTCTTAAATGCATCAATATCCTCCATAGTGCTACACTACCTCCCTAGGTTGCATATTACTATAAAGACTGTCAATTCAAAGCATACTGAGCAGGCAATTGCAAGGAAACACGTACTTGGAGCCCTCAAATTTAAAAATTTGGACAGTGGACTAGGCTCCAAGCACACAAACAGCCTAACATTCACCCGCATACATAATCGAACACCCCCCCACACTTAAGCACGACATTGTCCTCAATGGAGGAAAGATAAGGAGGGTTGAACGAAGTTACCAGATCAAGGGTGAATGATGATGTACGGGTCAGGCAGTGCAGTCCAGGAAGAGAGAGTAATCAGAACACAAACACCACACAAAATCTCACAAAGGTTGAGTTATTGACTCTAAAATCAAATAACAAAACTGACTCAACCGAGGAGAAATAGAGAAAGAAATGCAAACCGACTGGTTGGGTTGCCTCCCAACAAGCGCTTCTTTCACGTCGTGAGCCGGACGATGGCTCCTAAGTTTCGGTCCATGCTAGAACCTCCTTGAAGTTGAGGTTCTCGTCGATGAGGTGGAGTCTCAAGTCACGAGCATGTGGTGTGGCAGGTGATGAAGGCTCATGTACTTGATGCAGATGAAGTCTCCACCCTCGAGACCTCTTCTTCTCTTCTCTCGTCTCATTGTCCCAAACCAGATATGACAGCATCGACCGACCACCATCACGTCCACCAAGAGGGACCGATGTCGATGTGGCCTTGGTCTGGCAAAGAGACACTGCAAATGGGTCCTTGCTAAGTAGTTCCTCGAAGTTTGGTGGAGATATCAAATGTAACTCATGGCCGGTGCATGCCTTTTCCACCTCAACTTCATCCTCAGCCTGGACGCCAATTGCTTCCTCAACCCCCCTTCCTTCTTCAAAATGTGGTCTCTCCCCTGGGAAAAGATCAAGAACCACCTCTTCTTTTCTTTCTTCCTCATCATCCACAACTTTCTTCCTCATCCTTGCTCGCTCTTCTTCTTCTAGAACAGATTGGAGAGCAAGTCGCCAAGCAATTTCTTCAATGGGATCATCTTGCATCTCCTCGCACGGGCCCAACATGTTAGAGCATAAATGAGGAAAGGTGTGGTCTGCAACCAAAGGACCTTCCTGATCATGGTTATCATGGGAGTTCTCTGTGATAACTTCTGTATGCTCCTCAACGCTCCCATAGCCTTTGTCATCCTCCACCTCTTCTAGCGTGGCAGCAGAAAGGTGATCTTGAGCAAGATGTGAGCAAACTTGCTTCACCCACTCTGTTGCTTCGCTGAGCGCTGAACAGTCTCCTCCATATCATGGAGAAATGAGGGATCGGAAGTGGCAAGGGCTTTGATTTGAAGATCCATCTTGGAGCATGATTTCTCAGTGTCTCGAGCAAACTGCTCCACGAGAAGCCTTAATTGTTCGTTCGGATCTTCCAGTGAAGTGTAGCATGGCTCTGCAGAGTGGCCCGTGAAGGCCGCCATGGGTAACTCCAGCTCCGATGGCCCTTCTGGTTGTGGGAGAAAGTCTTCTTGGTAATGAGGTTGTTCTTGATATGCCCAGGGGTCTGATTGTTCTCCGTAGTAAGGGGGTTGGTACTGGAACCCGAATCCATAGTCTTCTCCTCCTTGATTGCTGTAGGGAGTCGCGGGGTAATACCACCCGGATGGTGGTGGATACCCCCAATGATTGGAGAAGCCATTAGGATCTATGATTCAGATCTGCACCAACAAAAACAAAAACACCCAAGTGAAAAGCAAGGGTGGAAAAGAAAAGAAAAACGCTAAAGTAACAAACTTCTGCCTTTTCTAATACTCTAGAAAGTCCCCGGCAACGGCGCCAAAAACTTGATGCTCTAAAACACAACACCTAACAATGGCCAAGTGTAACCAATGAAAGGGACTGCATTATAGTGGCACAAGTAATAAATATCGAATCCACGGGTCTCTAGAGTTACTATTACTCAGCTTCAGTTCATTATCTAGCAAACTAGATTAAGGATTGATTAACTAAACTACTCTACTAACTAAACTAAGTAAAACTACTAATTACAGTTTGGGAACTCACTTAGGTATGATTCCCCCTAGCTCCTCAATTAGGTCCAAGTTGTAATTCATTTTGGTTGATTTACTGTTGATTAAACTGCGGAAGATCCGACAGTAGCTTGTAATCTCTTAAGCTGACCAAGCCCTCTCAGTCTAACTATCCGGCAGACGACTAGTCTTCACCGGGATAGAAAGCTGAAGCAATAAGCACAGAACTCCACTACTGGAATTGGATTCCAGTACAAAGCAGTAAACTGGCTAACTCTCGTATAGCCAATCTCCTACTACCGAATGATGAGACTCTAGCAACCTAATCAGATTCTATCTATCTCAGATTGCAGCAGGAATCAGGAAAAGTTGATCAGACTTCAATTGACTCAATAAACATGCATCATTCGATTATAATCAAACAATATAGCATCCAAAACTTCATACAAGAAAGATCCTAACTCATGGAACTAGGGTTCCTCAAAACCTAAGTGAAGGGAAGTTACTCCATAGAGAAGAGAGAGACTGCAGAAATCTGATCTAGATCTTCAATCTCCATCTCCAAGCTTGATTCCCGAGCTCCAATGGCGAAGAAATCCTCCAAAATAGCTCCAAGAATGTTCCCAAGTCGCTCTCTCTCTCTAGGGTTCGTCCCTTGGGTGTTTGGGATCCAAAACCCAGCTCTCCCTCCTCTTTGGTTCGGAATTTGGCTTAAAACCAGGAAATCCCGACTCGCACGGCCAGGGTGCACGGCCGTGCATATCACCATTCTGGCCGTGCAACTCAAAACGCAGCGTGTCATTTAGTCGAACTTCAGCCCTCTCGCACGGCCAGGGTGCACGGCCGTGCGAGCTTCAGGGGTTGCCCGTGCGTGTCCTCGGCATAAGGCGCACGGCCATATTGCTCACGTGCACGGCCGTGCAGCCTCCCTGGTCTGCCCGTGCAGCTCCCCAAAAACCTCGCCATTCGTCCGTTCTTCGTCCA